CAATAGTTTGAATAAGATGAACTGGTAATACTGGTTTTGTCATGCAGTCCCAGTAGGGCTTTCTTGAGTTACCAAATCAAATAAAAAGTTCCCAAGATACACAAAGTCAGCTATTTCCTTTAATTATTTGTACCTGTATGATGTTTCCTCTAGATACTGTATTTCACAGGAAACATTGGACAATTCTAGTATTTTTATTGAAAAGCTCCAAGCCCACATTCAGGCAGGTTCTGTACTGTCCTGCCAAGGCAGCCTGGGGAAAGGGATGGTCTGGTTTGCAATCAGCCCCACTTCCTCTCAGTCTCTGCACATCAGTGCAATCTGCAGGATTCAGGGTTTTTTAAAATCAGGTGGTCTTTCTTTAGGTGTCCCATCCTGCAGAATATTGAATTAGAACCTGTGTGCTATAAAGTGATTATGTCAGTCTATTGGTGTGTGTCTAGCCTGGGCTGGAGTGTCTTCACAGACCAACCTAGAGTGCAGTTTGTCTTTAGAATCAGCCCTAAATGCCTAAATACACCTTCCAAAGTTTGTAAATGTTGGATCAGTCCTGAATCTGTTCCTCAGCTCAACTTATGTTCCCTGCCACTGTTGGAAGTAAACTAAAGCTCTGAAGCCAAATATTTCCAGCTTCAAAATATGTGCACATAGACTGTGATATAATTCTGTCAGTAACACACTGTCCTCTTGATGCACAAGGGAGTAGAGTAACTTCAGGCACTTGTTTTAAATATATTCCCTTAGAAATAGACAGGAAGAAATTGCACAGGGAATACGTTTTCCTTATTTAAGTTCAAAAATAAATATAGCTGTAACTCACACCATCTCCTGCTGCCACAGGCTCCGTGTCAACTAGGAATTTGGCAATGTTACAGACTTTCAGCATGAACATGGGCATAGGTTCTGGTTTGTCTTTTCAAGACCAGGTGAGCTGTGAAGCCTGCCAGTGCAGTTCGGTGCGGGTGTGCCCAGGGGATCAGCACATCCAAAGGGAATGTGACAGAAATGGGGCAGTGAGCGTGGCGTGGCTGTGCATGGACATTACCCCTGGCAGGATTAACTGCAGGAGCTAGAAACTCTTCCCACTAAAGTTGGAAGTTTTGCCACTGATTTTTTAAACAAAAGATTAATTTATTCTAATTAGCGTTCAGGTGGTATGAGCCACAAATGTTTACTGGTCTGTTCACTTTTGGATGTACCTCTTCTGAAGATGATATTACCATTTTTATCAGTAACATGAGCAGGTTTAGGCCTTTGCACAATCAGAATCTTTTAAATATCTCTGCAAAATACAAGCTGTAAAATGGAAACTGTTTTTCCTTCCACATTCAGTGGACTTTTGTAAGGTCTTTATCGTGTGTTTAAAATGACAAGTCATTTTAAAAGAGCAGCATCTGGTGCCAAGCAACCGCCAACTCAACATTTCTTTAATATGTAATATTTTTATGATACAGATGATAAAATATTTTAAAAGGAAAAATATATCAGCATTAGTTCATGTATTTCTTTTACCTAAAATTGAATTTTTAGTACGTGAAAAATTTCTGTATCAGCTTCAATGATAATGTGGGAAATGGTGTATGATGTTTTTAAAAAACAGCAATTTTATTGCACTTTTTTGTTGTAAAACATTGAGACTAGAAAAAGGATTGTCTTCTTTCTCGCATTTGCAAATGACTTGATGAAATTTAAAATCAAAGCACTTAGCATATGTAAGTGAGGTATAAATATATTCCTCTTCACTTTTTCCATAGCAATAGTTTGAATAAGATGAACTGGTAATACTGGTTTTGTCATGCAGTCCCAGTAGGGCTTTCTTGAGTTACCAAATCAAATAAAAAGTTCCCAAGATACACAAAGTCAGCTATTTCCTTTAATTATTTGTACCTGTATGATGTTTCCTCTAGATACTGTATTTCACAGGAAACATTGGACAATTCTAGTATTTTTATTGAAAAGCTCCAAGCCCACATTCAGGCAGGTTCTGTACTGTCCTGCCAAGGCAGCCTGGGGAAAGGGATGGTCTGGTTTGCAATCAGCCCCACTTCCTCTCAGTCTCTGCACATCAGTGCAATCTGCAGGATTCAGGGTTTTTTAAAATCAGGTGGTCTTTCTTTAGGTGTCCCATCCTGCAGAATATTGAATTAGAACCTGTGTGCTATAAAGTGATTATGTCAGTCTATTGGTGTGTGTCTAGCCTGGGCTGGAGTGTCTTCACAGACCAAGCTAGAGTGCAGTTTGTCTTTAGGATCAGCCCTAAATGCCTAAATACACCTTCCAAAGTTTGTAAATGTTGGATCAGTCCTGAATCTGTTCCTCAGCTCAACTTATGTTCCCTGCCACTGTTGGAAGTAAACTAAAGCTCTGAAGCCAAATATTTCCAGCTTCAAAATATGTGCACATAGACTGTGATATAATTCTGTCAGTAACACACTGTCCTCTTGATGCACAAGGGAGTAGAGTAACTTCAGGCACTTGTTTTAAATATATTCCCTTAGAAATAGACAGGAAGAAATTGCACAGGGAATACGTTTTCCTTATTTAAGTTCAAAAATAAATATAGCTGTAACATAAACGTGTACTTATCAGCACTGACGCCCTTTGGCCTCACTTCAGTGGACTTTTCTGACTGACACCAATGAGAAAAAGATGGGCGCTGCATAGGAAATCTGTGGATGGTTTTTTTTCTTCTTCTTCATCCATCTATCTATTTTGGGATGTGCTAAATGCTTGTTCCCTGTTGTAACATTAACATCAGTATGTGGAAACTTGGGTTGCTAAAATAAATCCATGAAATGCAATATACATGACTTCACATGGAACTGCACGTACATTGTTGAGCACAGCGCCCTGTGTCCACTGTGCCCAGCCAGCTTCACAGCCAGGTACAACCTATTGTGTCCTGCAGAAGTGGGGTGCTCTAGTGAGGCAGGCATGAACTTTGTGCTGCCAGTATGTATAGAGGCTCTGTAGTGCCTAAGCTGGCAAAACATTTCATGGTTGCCATTTCATGACAGTAAAATTAATACTTTTACCAACCTCAGAGTATGTGGATGGTAAGGTCTGAAGTATTTGACAAAAGCATCTCTTGATCTTTTGCATCATGGGCCTGATGGAGTGCTTGCTGGAGGCAAGGAAAATGTTGTGAGGCATTGGTTTGTGAGGCTCTAACTGTCTCTCTTTAGTTTTTTTAAGTTAGTGATACAGGCTTCAAACAGACCTGGAGTATTTTTCTGACCTTAGTAGAGCCCCTCCTGATTCATGCTAGTATGTATGAGGACATTCTTAATTTATCTTTTACTTTTAGTGGAAAAATGGAAGGGATAAGCTCAGCCTTTATGGACTGGACTGTTTTCTGGCCACAGTAAAAATCAGTGGGAGACCTTTACAAATTTGGACTTTGATGAAGGTCTTGAGGAGTCAGTCCTGCCTTGGAGTCCCCTCTGATGTGTGGGAGCCTGGCCTGCTCCACAGAGTGATCCTGTGCTGCTGCACCAATTTATCATCCACTGTGGTTACAAGTACATGGATGAGGAAGAAATCCCTGTGGCTGCTGCCTTCCCTGCCCCTCTGGCTTCAGATAAAACAGCAAGCCTGGAGCATGCTCTGCCCTGGGAGGAAGGAGCAGCTAGTGTGTTGCATTGCTTGACTCAAGGTCACTCACTCCTTTCCTCATCATGGAGCATCCATCTTCAAGGCCCCCACAACTACAGGAGTGGGAGACATTCCCATGGAATTAGTTGTTCCCTCTTTCTTTTCCCGGCTTAAGAGGTAAGAGCTGCACAAATTCCCTCTTTAATAGTCACCTAAGAGAAAATACAATGACTGGTTTGTCATCAAAGTATTTAGAGCTGATTACAATATCTGGGTTGGTTTTTGGTGTGGGGGGTTTTTGTTGGGTTTTTTTTGTTTTTTTACTGTCGTGTTTGAACAAAATCCATAAACCACAGAGATCTGACAAGAAACAGGATGTTTTACATTGACTGTAGCTGCTGGTTATTTTTGTCCAAACACACAGAAATGCCCTGATGGTTACTTACCAATGACAACCTGCTCAGGACTTAACATTTTTCAGTTTCATGGCAAGCTTGCAAGGTTACACATATATACTGAATGAAACATAGCCCACTGGTTATTTTTAGAGGGGCTCTAAACAAGAAGTAAATCCCTGGAGTAGAGCTGCCAGAGATGCATAAAGTTCAAATCCAAATTAACACTGCCCATCTTTAGCCTAAATTCCATGCTGAACTTGAGGAAAACTATGATCTATACCTTGAACTTTATGTAAAAAAAACCCTTCATGTTGGTTTCTAATACCCAAGGATACATGAATGTGGTACAAACACTTGAAAATTAGAACTTGAATGAGAACTCTGAACATTTGTTCCAGGAATATAGTACCTGATCTTGTGATATACCATGGTAGGACTTCAGGTTTTAGTATTTGTACTGGAATTTGGAAAGTCTAATTTATCTTGATTCCTAGTTCTAACACATAAGGTCAAGTACTATCATGTAATTATAAACTTTGGGGGAGGAAGTGAAATGCACTTAATTTACCTTGCAGATCTCTTTAATAGTGACCTGTGATGTGCAAGCCTTGGTTTAGACTCCTTTTCAGCAACATATTTATGCAAAATAGTTGAAACTATTGCAACCGAATCATGTTCTTGGTTTCTCTGCTGAATCAGAGGCTGTATCTTCTTCCTGCCAAGGCAGTGATCTTAATACCACTCCTAAATGCACCAGTAACTCTAGAAGCCCTAATGAAAGTCAAGATAACACCACAGATTTTATAAATAAGAGTCTTTATTTAGATACTGTTGAAAACATTCTTGGCAACCACATCGTATAAATATATAAAGTCTGACACAACAAACCAAGCAACATTAAATATTTTTAACATTTTCCCCTTTATGTTTTTTTATTATTTTTTGCTTTTGTTTCTTTTTTATCTTTCTTTTCCTCTTCCCCTGCCTCTCCTCCTCCTTTTTGTTGTTTTTTTTTGTTGTGTTTTTTTTTTGCAAAGCAACTCTTATTTACAATTATACAAAAAGTTTTATAAAAAATGGTCCGCAACCTTATTTTGGCCAGAACAGGAGTAGTAGGAAGGATCTGTTATGCCACTACTGGTGTCAATTTCTATTCTCCTCTGCACTCAAGAGCCAGGTCTGTAGACCCCAAAGCCCAGATTAAACATTGGCCATTTTATGGTATACAATTTTATCTCTAGACATATTAAATAACTTTAGTTAAACATCCAATAAATAACTAGGTGTATTTTGAAGTAATACAGGTTTGAAAAGTTATATATTCGAAGGAATTTTAAGTGATATTTTAAAAGTGGAACAAGTCTTGAGAAGTCTTTTCAGTCTTAGAAAGCAAGTCTTGGAGCATGGCTGGAAGGATCAATTTGTTTTCCATGCAGTCCAGCTGGACCTGCCTTTATAGCACTTGGTAGATAGGGTTGCTGCTGCTGCTGTTATCCTGGGGAAGTGGGGTGCAGTTGGTGGGGGAAGGAATTTGGGCTCCACTATCATTCAGGCTTGCTCCTTCTGGGGAGGAACAGGGACTCCCTTCAGTAACAGTTTCCACTGGAGGCAGTATAGGACATGTGGAGTTATCTGTGGAAATCCTCTCTACAATGCTTGACAGGCAATCGAGACTGGAAACAACAGAACTCTTTCCATGCTTTGGATCTAAAAAAAAACAGATAAAAAGGTGACAAATTTATCCAGTTAATGGGTATTTAACGTCAGCAGAATGTAGTTTTTCCATAAAACTCCAGTGAGTGGCTGACAGTATCTGTGAGCATATAAAGATTCAAAGGAAATGAGTATTGGTGAAGGACACCAATTCTCAGAAAACAGACTGTAATTTGCAGAATGGAAGAGAGACACAACCAAAGTATGCTACTTTTGGGGCAGGATGGGTCCAGGGCTTCACTTCAAAAGGGAAGATTTGAAATCAATCTGCAGTTTCTCCAGTTTGGATCAATGATGAAGTTAGAAAATAGTTGATGCAAAACACGGTGTTGATGCAAAATACGGTTGCAGGTAGGAATGTATTTTTATCCAGATGTTATATTTGCAAAATAGGAAATACAGCTATAACCATCCCCGTATTTGCAAATTAATCTAGAGGAAATCCAGTGCTTCTATTAGCACCAACAGCTTGCTGACTGAAAAGGCAAGTTCCTCTTTCAGCCAAGCTGGGGTCAGCTGAACAACTGGAAAAGCCATGGATAGGTTTGCTGCCTTGACTGCCTCTATCGCCACGCTCCACGCAGCCGTTACGGCACATACTCACCATTTGGTGATTCTGTGTAGTAGCTGCTGTCATAGCTGTTTCTTCTGCGAGAGCTGCACGGAGGGCCACTGTACTCCATCTGGAAAAGAGAGCAACCTGAGTGAGGTCGCTGGTGGGGAACAGCATTTACTGAAATCCCAGGAACCATCCCATTTCATAGATTGGTCCCTAGTCTGTGCCATCGTTCCAGTCCTGGCTGAAATGCCATCAAGTTGTAGTTTCTTTGAATGAGGGAGAACTTAACTTGGCTAGAAGAGGATTCACACCAGAATACTTGATGTGGCACAGCTGTTCCAAAGGAAAAGTACCGTTTTGAGGTATTGAATGCTGTAGCTTTAGAAAGGAGATGAGCTTTCCAGCATTCTCGTCAGATACTGCCCTACACGTTTCTTCAATTTATAACAGAGACACTAAAGAGAAATTAATCTTTTTGTAGTTTAATTTTTGAATGTTTTTTGAAACATTGCTTCCTCTTAAAAAGCCTCTAGTCTACATTTGTCCCTTTTTATTTCCTTTAGTTTCTCTTGCCATTTCCATTTTGTACAGAAAAAGCCCCAAAACATTCACCAGCGTATTTTTTCCAATACTTTATTCCACAATGAAATTACTTTTTCTGACAAATGAAAAAGGCTGTATTTTGAGGAGGGATCATTTGTGTAAAACTTCTCTCCAATCTCCCAACTACCTCATATTCACAGATATCCAGCTCAGTAATTAATATCTTTACCACAGCACTGAAAAAAATTCAGGTCTTAAAGTGCTGCCAAGATCCCATCCCAGACAAGTGTTCTGCACATTGGTCACCACATCCCACCACCCCAGAGTCAGACCAGAGCCTGAGCCTACAGTCCCAGTGAAAAGATGTGGTGATGAGACACCACCCACCACCCACCCTTCTTGTACCCACCCTTCCACTCCCCGTAACATACAAGCAGGACTGAAAGCCTGGGGTCTCACTCCTATTGCTAATATATGTCTATGGAGGATATGAAAACCTTTTTCTTAAGGGACAAGAAAAACAACTCCTGTTGCTTAGACCCTTTCCTGTTATCGTGATGAATGACAGAAAACAAAACCCAGACCCTTACCAGTTCCCCTGTAACTACCATGACCAAGCAGGACCTTTCTGCTGTCCTTAGTGGATTCAAAGGCAATGGAATAGCAGAAGATGGAAAGTGATGCCCCAGGAGCTACAGGGGCACAGGCACAGCTCAGACCTCACCATGCCCCCAGATACCCATCCCCATGGCTTCCCCAAGTGCTCCCCCAGCAGCTCTCCCCTGTCCCCTAGGACACAGGAGGGTCTGTCTAACTTCTCATCCCAGAGGGAAAAAGTGTATAGGAGATTATTCTTCTTTCCCAGAGATCCTGGCATGTGGGGACCCCACCTCCCTTTGCTGCTGCAGCTCAAGGCACTGGACTCTGGCTTCTGCCCGGGGAGGTACAGAAGGCAGGTGCTATGGGAAAGGTGGGAGGAGGTGACTTGCCCTGCACAGGTTAGGACTAACAGCGCCCAGGGTGCCTCGGCAGCAGGGTGTCCTCTCCGGGGCACTCACCATGCCGTCGGAGCAGTTGGAGCGGGGGCTGGAGGCGTCCGATTCCCCGCTGTAGTGCTCCAGCACCGGGTAGTAGGCGTCCTCCTGCTCCCGCAGCAGCGCCTGCAGGCTCTCGATGTAGCGGATGGCGTTGCGCAGGATCTCCACCTTGGGCAGGCGCTGGTTGGGGTTGGTGGACGTGCAGCGCTTCAGGGTCTCGAAGGCCTCGTTGACCTTGCTGAGCCGCCGCCGCTCCCTCATGGTGGCAGCCTTGCGGCGGTCAGCGTTGGTGGTCTTCCTCTTGCAAGCCTTGCAGGCCCACAGCAGGCAGCGCCCGGCCTGGTGGTGCCCGCTGGGTGCCCGGACGTGCTCTTCCTCGTGCGGGTGCCCGTGGTGGTGCCCGTGGTGGTGCGGGTGCTCCTCAGGCTTTAGCAGCCCCCCCACGTGCACCAGCCGGGGGTCCAGGTCCTCAAAGAAGTGCATGTCCGACGTGTTGAAGCATGGGTCATCGTAGAAGTCGTCAGCGGCCGCGAAGGAGCAGAGGGAGCCCTCTGTCATCTCCATGGGGCCCAGTAAGTCCATGGGGGCAGCGGAGGAGGCAGCCGGGCTCAGAGGGGGTCAGTGACGGGATCAGAAGCGAGGGGGCTTCGATCGGGTTGTTCGGCG